GATCCTAAACCCTCACAGGTACATACCTGACCCTAAACCCTCACAGGTACATACCTGATCCTAAACCCTCACAGGTACATACCTGACCATAAACTTAATTCACACCTCGGTCCTAAATTGAACCCCCATCAGCATCCATATCCATGGTCCCCATGAGGCTGTTTTTCTGGAAAATGGTCTCCATGATGTATAAAATATGCACCCACACACACCTCCACCTATAATCAGAATGATTTGAAAGCTTGGTCCTAAGATAATATAAATAAATATAAAATATAGGGTTTTGGTCATTAAATGTAAAGAACTACTAAATGCAAAAGATTAAACATGTAGCAAGACAACAACACAAAACTTGATGATTTTCAGTTATTTACCTGGTGGATCCTGTTTTTCAGAGGAGGAACAGTGTCAGAGGTCTGACTCGCAGCTCACTCATTTACTTCTTTTTATAAGTAAAGGTCTAAACCAGGGGTGTCCAGTCCTGGTCCCGGAGGACCACTGTCTCTGCTCCAACCCTCCTGATTCTTTGAATTACCTCTTCAAGTTCTGCAGGAGCTGTTAATCACCTACAGGTTAAGAACAGGGTTAGGGTGTGTTGAAGCAGGAAACCTCATAACCCTGGTGCGTCTGGGCGGGGTCAGAGGGACCCCGCGTGGTCRATTTTGAACCCGGTAGCAGGCGGGGTCGCAGAGACCCCGTTTGTGTGTGTTTTTTTTTTACATAAGCGGGTTCTCATAGGTGCGTGGGGTCAGTGGGACCCCGTTTGGGTTTTTTTTTATAGGTCACACACACACACACAGCCAGTTTGCGAAATAATCTTTATTTCGTTCATTTGCATACAACAACAACAACAACAAAAGCGGGCTCATTGTTGTCTAGCCCTGATGAATACACYCAGATGATTGAACAACCCAATCAATTCCCTCATGGCGTTAGTCGGACCGCGGATCTCCATCTGAGAAACAGAAAAAAAAAGAGATATGAGTGTCACGCGCACACATACACACACACTCACGCACGCACCTGCGCATATCTGGCCTTGAGTTTGCTCACGCTGAACCGTTGTTTGCAACCCAGGTGGCGTTTCTGCGGGGAAAGGGAAACGCGCGTTGTTATTCGAAAGAAGGAAGACACGAGCATCATCACAGACAAATAAACAACTCACGCATTTGATCAGCGCGCGTCTGAACTGATGTAGGATTTCCCAGATGGCTTTGGCGTGTCTCCTTTTGTTCGCGTCTTCGATGGCCGGCACGGTCTTGGGCATAACCGCGCGCGTGTAGAAATCCAAGATCCCAACCAGCGTCTGACACGCAAACGGACTCGACGCGTCGAACTCGTGGTTCCACATCAGCGTCGGCGGACCGCGATGAGAGTGGTCGTCGTCGTCGTCGTAGATATCGTCGACGTGATCGCGGTAGGTCCGCATCATGTACAACAGCCTCAGCTTGAAACTGGTCGTAAACATATGACAATCATCCTCGGTCTCGATCACGTCGAAAGGACCGGCGGCGGAGACCGACGCCGCCGCAAAGAGGAGGAGGAACATCGTCGTCGTCGTCGTCATCGTCCGCACTACCAGTTCACGACTTTCTCTCGACGCAGAGGAAAAGGCGGCGCTGYTCTTTTATACGTATCCGAGACTCGAGCGGTACATGCCGACCGACCGACCAGAGTCATTGACCTCGTCCCAAGAGGCTCGCCGCTTGCTAATATATAACCCCCCCACAAAAAAAAAAACACGTGTTACGAATATAATAATGAAGAACAAACAATCCGCGTCAAGGTTTTTTTTTCAGAAACGACGATAATCGAGAGATTTACACAAACAACAAATATAGAACGAACCCTCCCACCAATGTCAACAACRACAAGACAACAACGCGCGACGACGCGGTGGAGCTGCCGCGAAGCGCGTCCGCTCATGTGCGTTTTCACCAGAGCTTCGCATCAACGCGATTCCGAAGCGAGCGACGACGACGACGACGACGTATTCAGCGGAGAGGAGGAGGAGGGCGCCGCTAGGTCTTCTTCTTCTTCCTCCGCTTCTTCTTCTTCTTCTTCTTCTTCTTCTTCCGCAGAAGAAGAGGAAGAAGAGGAGGAGGACCCTCCCGTCGTCATCGGACGACGGGACGACGCGTGGCGAGCCGACCCGTACCCCTCTTCGACCCGGATGATGACGACGACGAGGAGCGGCCCAACCGAGCTGGCACTGGCGGCCCGAGAGAGCCCCGCGGCCGCGTTCGCGCTCTTTTTCACGCGCGCCATGGAGGAA